AAAAAAAAAAACCCCCCCCCCCCCCCCAAAAAAAAAAAAAAAAAAATTGAAAACTCTACAAAATTTACTTTTAATTAGAACATAGCAGTAGAAGTCTACCAGAAAGTCCATTTATTAGAAAAAACATTTTCTAGACTGAAAAGTACATCACAAACAAGGTACTAGGCTGGGCTAACCAAAAATATATGGCCAATTTCAAGATAAAAAAAAACTAAGAAATGAAATTGCCATTGATAAGACTCCCGGCCCAGAATGCTCCAAATCGAAATTCTCGTCCCTGAATTTTGATCCATATATACTTGTCATACCAGTGCCATCACCCTGCAACAACAGAACAGTTCTCCTCTTTTTCTCCCCCACACAAATGCTGCTCGCTTGTTCAAAGATTACATGCCGGACGTATATAATACAACATTGTCCTATGACTAAAGCACAAACAAATCGTGACTTTTGGTTTTTTTTTTTTCCCACAAATAAATTGGAAGAGCTTAACGGCGATTGCAAATCTGGGTATCTGGGGGTGCGACTGTATGTCCGGAAAGACTAATTACAATAATACGAGGGCTCAAGAAGTGAGATGTTTGGGTAGGATGAATAGTCATTTATAGTAGGCAAAAAATCTTGAAATCATTTGCCAGATCTTCCTATGTCTTAAAATACACCTCCGGTCTGAACTTAAAAGTATTTTGATTCAAAGAAAAAGAGAATTTGAGGATTCTGACGATTGAATTCATCGAAAATACAACCCAAACAGCTTAGAAACTGAGGATTCTGACGATTGAATTCATCGAAAATACAACTCGAACAGTTTAGAATCAGACTTCTATCTCGAACTTATAAATTACAGGCAATTCCAAAACGAAGCAAATTATCATTTCATAATTACGGTACTATTTTGGAATGACGGAGTGAATGATTATTAGAACATCACGTAAAGCAGAACATTTACGTATCAGCTTGTTGCAAAAATACGTAACCGCGTGGTCCACTAATGCGCCCACTATTTACTGGACAACGAGCAAGGCCGATTTTGTAAATATGTGAAATTAGCAATGAAAAAAAGCGCACTAACATTAACGAAATCGCCTCCTTGGATCATGAAATCCTTTATAACTCGGTGGAACTGGGCATTTTTGTAGCCAACCGGAACACCATCGCGGCGATATTCACCGGTACAAAATTGCCTGAAATGAAACTGCCTAATCAACAAATTCCATACAAAAAAAACTTAAGAAAAAAAGTCGAAATAATTCCTTCAACATTACCACCACTGCTGAAGAGGAAAGGACAACTGCTCATCGATGTAAAGGTGAAACTGTCACATCGCGACAGCACAAGCACTCAAGAGGGAATAACTACGCCGAGACACCACAGCTCATAGGGAGAAAAGGACAAAGCCGAAGTCTCGCGAACAGTATCCATCCAACTGAAAAATGAAAATTGCACTGTTAAAAAAACCCCCATTTTCTGATGACTCGTGAAGGGACAATCTTTAACGGCTCATGTTTATCACCGGTATTATTGCACGGCCCCTAGTAGTTCATGGTACCCAGACATATTTGTGAGGAAAAAAACACAACAGTACGCGCAGCCCGGCACAGCTGCGCTAGGAGTCTAAGATTTTATGAGGTTCACTAATATGAGATACCCATACTGATAGCCCAAGCGGTTTTGATGCATAATAGTGATTTAAAATTCTTTGCTTATATATAAACTGAGCAACAGGTAGTTAGCTATGCGGAGCTGGCTACACTATTCCCAATGAGTAAATACAAATTCTGCTTCCATGCTATAAAAACAAAGATTGGCACTGCTTCTTTGGTTCTAGTAGGCGCTCAAATGGATCAAGGCGTTTTTCTGGTGACTGGAAAGGTAGCCCAAAAGTTAGCCAAATGGTTGCCAAATTCACAAAAAGAAAAAACCAAGAAACTAACGGAAATTTTTCCCAAGATAGTGGACAAGTAACAGTTTTATCCGTGTTGAGCCGAAACTCGCTAACTTTAGCACATAAGTGTTTTACAAATGGGAAAAAACCGAGAAAGAAAACCACTGCATCGGGCGTTGAATCCACTATGAGCTTTTGCTAGGCCACTGTTTGAATGAGTGACGCATGACAAGCACCTCGGAATATCGTGGTGCCCTTACGGGCAACACTGACGCACTTTTTCTGTGAAAGCAACAACGGCTGATATGAGCTAGGAATGAAAATGGTGGCTGATCCCCTTCTCTCTGTCCCAGTTATCCATTCGCTCCCATGGGATATGCAAATGCCCCTTCTTTTGACTCGAGTTCCCCCTCCGTGATACAAATTAGGAGTGATAACAGCGAATCCCATATTACGTTTATTGAGCGGCGGCAGCTTGTTGAATTCCTCATCTCCTTCCGGTTGCGTTGCTTCTTACCAAATAAAGTATTGTTTTTATGCGTTTTGTGCTGTGTAACAGCAGTACAAAACGCATATTGTCACGGGGTTGTCCGTGTGT